GTAATACTGTCATGGCGAAAATTTTGGTTTGCAACAAATTTCAGGCCGCAATCTTTTAATAAACTCATTTTTATTTACAATGTTTATCTTACGAAAAAAAAAATGGTTTCTGTAAGTTACACAAAATTATAACTTCTGTACAGGATAGTAGCCTAAACTCGATTTAAAATCAGACATAATTTTACAGCGCTTATGGAAACCGTTTAATTTACAAGCGTTTACGGTTTACTTTATAAGCCCGCCTCGGATTTTATTAAACTACGAACTTCCGAAATCCCTATAGTTTGTATTTTCAAACCCGAGGCAGCAATTCCGTGGGCGCTGGGCGACACGACGGCCACCCACCGAATGCCTTCGATATGCTGTTGGTGTAATCGTTACAAAAAATTTAATTTGCATAAATTTGAGCTTATCTTAGTCTGAAACACATTTGGAATGAAAATTATTCGTTCGGATTCAATTTTATCCTCAGAAGTGATAAAAGCATGGGATAGGACACCGCCAACTTTGACCTATCCACCCGCAAGTTTCGCCTGCACCTCACTGATAACGACAACAGCTTTTAAGTTTAAAGTTTCAGCTCTCTAGACTCAGTGGTGTTCTTTCTCTAGGAGCATCTGCACCTAGTGAAAGAATACCACAGCCAAATAAATAAGAAAAAGAAAAAAATACAACTTCTATGGCGATCTCGAGAATGTTTTCTCCATCCGAATACAAGAAGAATTTTTTTACCATTTTCTGCGTTATAAATGCTTAAACGTGATACAGGAAAGCTACTGTTGTTTAATGCATTTCCTGTGAGCACAACGTCATATTACCGCGAAAAGCTTAAAAAATCAAAAACTAAACTCCTGAAGGGCGGGCCACCTTTAGGCAGGGGGCCCGTTGCCCGGCTCTAACGGCGGCATCCGAACAAAGCCAAACGTTTCCATTGCTTCGAATGTAAAAGTGGACGATATGCACACATTAGCAGATGCAGTGCCAGCAATTCAAAGGTTTGTTTGTTTAGTTATGGCAACGAAACACTTGGGCGATCTGCATACGGGATGCCTTTCAGGAGATATTTTAAGGGAAACTGGGCCCTATTTAGGCGTTACAGACGTGGAGAAAACCCGGAAAACGCGTGACCAGCCCGTCCGAGCGAGGGGCGCGAACACACGACCGAACTCCCAGTGTTCAGGGTAAGAAGACCGCTTGGCCACTGGTGGTCCTTCGGGAGTTTCTCCTATCGCCTGACGTATGGTTAATGGTTAATTCGAGGAGTTAAATTTAGTCGCATTATATCTTGATTTATTACCGTAATAACCGGTTGAAAACAGTTTGGAACAATTTATAAGGTAATAATTGTATGTGACTTAGAAATAATTTAATGCCAAATCAAACCAAAGACTTTATTACCGAGACAATTCTTTATAATTACACTTATATCATTCAACAAACTATCTTAAAACGAAAATTTACAAATTCTAAAACAGAATCAGGACCAAAGTATTGCAAAAAATGTCTTCTTCTATGACTTTAATTGAATAAAATTATTCAGCAACTGTTTCAGTTCTCCAAATGCATTTTTATCACAAAACTTCACCATTCTGGAAGCGACAAACAATACTTAACGACATTTATTCACATCCTATTAATAATTGCACTTGCGGTTTCGTAAAGCGTTTAGTTTAACGCGATTTTTATCCGGAAACTTTCGTTCTTCGCAAAGAATTTTGCAAAGACTTCTTCNCGGTTTTCTATTGCAAGGTTTCTTACTTCTTGCTCGACCCCTCGGTCAGGACCACACTCGTTTTCGTCCTCTCTCGACGAAATCGCAGCCACTTCTCCTTTCTTTCACCTCGCCTCCTCTCCAGGGGGTTATTGCTCCTTTTGTCTTCTTGACATTGTTTCACAGAATCGATGATGTCACCCGAGGGAATAGGGATTAAGGGAGAAAGTTCTAGAACAGTTAAGACAAAAGGACAGAGGAGATACTAAGCCTAACTAAAATTAACAAAAATATATATAAAACTATGGCTGACGGCCACAGTACTTACTCTACCTAATTTTTTTTTTGTTCAATTTTGGAAAAAATATATCATCATGGATGCCATAGGCAATATCAATTTCGCCTGGCAAGTATTAACTGAAAAATGCATGAATGGAGTGTGAAAGGTATGGCCAGAGATATCCAAGGATTCTTAACGAGAAGAGTCTATCATTGACTAAATTGTCAACCTAATTGATGCAGCAGGAATAGGAGATGTATAAGAGCATGATATTGAGGAGTCACTGCAGGTTTCTGGTGAGAGCTCTACCAACGACGACCTTCACAAACTGGCAGAACAGAAAAATAGTGATTCTGAAAACAAAGAACCCAAAGAACTTGTTACATATTTCCTTAGTAAAGCTTTGGTAACAATAACTGAAATCATTGATCAAACTGTTGCAAATGAATAGATTTTGAAAGGAGTGCAAAAGCAAGACAAAGCATTTTGGATGTGATCTCCTGCTACCGACATTTGCTTAACGAAAGAAAAAGAAACTAACGAATGACACTAGATGAGTTCATCACAAAAAAAAAAAATCAAGAATTTCAGAAGAGACTTTCATCACAAAAATGAACTTTATATTTCTGTGTGCTTATGTTTATGTGTTATGTAACATATATTATTATGCAAATTAATATAAAAATAACTTAAAATTAAAGTAAAATTTGTTTATTTTTGGCCGCATGTTACCCTATCCCTATGTTAAAATGACATCGTTTAACGCTGTTTCGTTTAGCGCTTTGTCGTCTAGGAACGCAACCCCCCGCGTTAAGCGGGGTCTTACTGTACAGTACAGTACATTATTTGTGAATAATCTCTCTTAAAAACATGGCGAATCAAGGTTTTTCGGGGCCTAGGGCTTATTAAAGTCCAATGGGGCCCATTTTTTGTTAATGCAAATAATACTATAAATTATCTTTATTATTAGTACTAGCAGACCCCGCCTCGCCTTGTTGTGGCTCAAAATGTATCTATTATAAATGTATAACACTTCCCCAGTGGGGGGAAAATTTTTCGAAAAATTTTTTCTTAGTGTACATTCTGTTGACGTACCCTATTAAAACGCAATCAAAAACGCAAAAACCCGCATCTAAAATAGTATAATAGAAGCCAAGTTTTTCAGAGTAAGCCTTAATCCTGTCTCTCTCCCCCGCGGGGGGAATATCGAAAAATCCCTTCTTAGTGTACATTCTGTTGACGTACTCTATTAAAACGCAATCAAAAACGGAAAAAACTGCATCTAAAATGGTATAAATAGAAGCAGAGTTCTTTACGGTAACCTTTTCCGTAAGGCTTACCGTAAAGAACTGTCCATCCCCCATGTTTAACGGAATAATATATAGCCTATGTCCACCCTGAAATTCCATTCTAAATATTGGTGAAAGAATTTTTGAAATCGGATGAGTAGTTTCGGAGATTACCTGCTGCATACAAACTAACATACAAACATTACCTCTTTATAATATTAGTATAGATTAACTATTTTTTACTATACGATAAGTGCTTATTGTTAATGTAAAAGTATTAAAAATTTATGATAATTCAATATTTATGAGCCCTTGACACTTGGGGCCCAGGGCTTGAACCCTATTTACATCGGCCCCTGCTTGTGTCCAGTCAGAACTGTTATTCATTAGCCCTATATAATGCCTGATGAACACGTGTATTAAAGGGTTAAGCTTAATAACTCCTGAGTTTTTTGTCGAAAATTTTGAAATTTTACGGGGAGGTTTGTGTATTAGGAGGATTGATGCTATTAAATTTTGATGATTAATTAAAAGCCGAGGAGGTGAGGAGATAAAGGGAGGTCGTGTGTCGTATATTTCGATTAGGGTCTGACTTAATGACGATTTTACTAGTTATTAGCATTTATAATTTTTTATAAAACCCATCCCTACTCTTAAAATGAAACTTTTTGCCATTTTAAAATAATTAAAATATAAAAAGTGTTTAATAAAAAAATATCGTAACAGATGACGCAACGCGCGCAGTTTGAAATATTGCCGGAAAAGTTAAGTAACTCCTTGCTAGATTTTTATTTATTGCGGTAAAGCGTTTATGTTGTTAGCTTTTTTTTCTTTAGAAAGAAGTACAGTGCAATAATTCGAACTAATTATCGTATTATGTTCCATCTTACGAAAATAACTACATTTATATTGTATAAAATATGCATTTTTAAGTGTTTATATCTTAAAAACAAGTTTATGGGTATACACATCATATATTTTGTCTTGTATACATTTTATGTTTTAAGTTACAGTACTTTCTAAAAAATTGCGTTTAAAATAATAGAAATAGGCGTTACAAGAAGCAATAAATGCTGTAGATTAATGCCAAAAACATGCAAATTTAGAGGAAGTTAGGTCCGAGTTCTACAAAGCAGTGTACTGCAAAAACAAAAAAACAAAAAAAAATCCATCAGCTGCTACCAATACTAAACTATTATGAATTTCTAAGTGTTTTAATTTTAAACTTTTTTAAACAATTTACAAAAATGGTCTTAAAAATTTCAGTATCTACAGAATCTTTCTTATTAAAAATTTCATTTTCGCAGAATCCCGAAATGAAATCAGTGAAAGCAAAGATGTAAGAGACTATTTTCTTGCAAGTTCTTTGAAATAATCAATAGCAATTATAAACGTCACATGAATCGAGACGTTTATAAGACGCTTATTGTAATTGGTTACTGAAACACATCTTCTTGATTGAATTTTTTGTATTGCTTGACATAAAGTGGTTTTATTTTTGGCTGTGAAGAGTATTTTTTTCTTCTTTGTTTAAAGAAATACATTATTTGTGAATAATCTCTTGAAAAAACATATTGCTGTAAAAAATATAAAACATTTTACCGAAATATCTGGATTTATAAAAGATTTCTGGGTACTTTTTGAAATTCTGAATTGAAGAAAACAAAGAAAACAGAACTTATCATTTTTAAAATACAATGAACTGAAACATCAGTTCTTTATTCTTCAACAATAACAACTCAAAATTATGAGGCATTGTGTGATTTTTTGGCGCTAGAAAATAAAAATATGACAATTTCATGCAGGCTTAACGAATCTTCTATAGGTTGGGTGCTTCAGAAAATGTCAACAGAGATACAGAAGTAACTTATTATAATGGATCTGTAGGAGCAGGTTTATTTAGAAGTTCTTTACATGTACAAGAAGTCACACAGATTGCGGAGTTCCGAAAAGAAGTACGCGGCTCTATTACTTTTGCTGCAGTAAATGCACGCCTTCTGCATATAGCTTCTATTTTAAATATTAACAGTTTTTTTGAAGCATTTGTCACCATCGAAAACTTCCTAATTAAGTAATATTAAATTGGCTCTCACAAGTCAGGCAAAAAATGAACTTTTTCATGCGATTTCTTTTTAAATAAAGATTAAAAACATTAGAAAATTCATTTAAAGTATAGAAAGATTTATTCTACATAATCATTATAAACGTTAAATAAATTTAAGTCACATTATTATATTTTTAATCTTTCAATATAATTTTATTAATTTTAATATTTGTTTTACTTTCAGAAATTGCGATGTCGTCTTTAAAATTTATTTGCATCTTTTTACTTCTTTTAAATTTCGGTAAACTTTTTAATTTTTTTTCAAATTTTATAAAGTATTTATTAATTAAATGGCTCAAAATTATTTATAGAGTTATTAATTAATATATTTAGTTTAAACACTATCCAATTATAAGATATTCTAGAGCAGGTGTTCCCAACCTGGTCGATAGTGGTCTTTATAGCCTCTTGAGATCCACTACTGAAAAAAACTATTTTTTTTTATTGAAGTTTTGTTTTGCTTTTGACCTTTAGGTGACACTTATTAGTAAATTGCCATTTTTCTAAAATTTTTATGTTCTGGTCATTAAAAAATGGTACGTGTCCTATATGACACAATGGTTCTCTACCTATACAAAATGCAAACTTTTCCGTTCATGTAAAAATGGTTTATTTGACTGTTTTTGTATATTAGTTGACATTTTATATTTACATATGATATGCTTTGAAACAAATTTTATTTTACCAAGGCACAGATGTATTTTGTAGTTGATACAGTATACTGTAGCTCATACACTTTTACATTCTTCCATTGGGCAGTGGTAATTTTTGCAATTTACTATGATTTCTGGCATGTGTTTTGCTTCACTTTTGCATTGTATTTCACTGGGATGCAAAGTTGAAGTATTTTTTGTATGATTTTCTTTGTTTTTCGTCATTTTTATTGATCCCTTTTTTCTTATTGCCTGTACTGTCTGAATGTGATAGCGATTTTGACACTTTTTTAATTTGTTCTTTGAGCAGACTAATGACTTACACTCTCCAGGACAGTCTGCTCAAAGAACAAATGTTTGGTCATGTCTTTATCACTGAACCAGACTTTCAGTTCAGACAAATTTCTATCAATATCATGTGTCCTATCATGTTTCTTTTTTATTTTCGCTGTTGACAATGATAAATTAAAACTAGATCATTGACATTTATTATAAATATGTGATTTATGATATTAATAATTTATAAGTTTTTAATAAAAAAAACTTTGCAGACCAAAAAAATAAGTAGACAAAAACAAATCACAGAAATTTGTGATGAATAAAAAAAATAATTATTTTTATTAATAAATTAATTGAATAAAAAATGATAATAAATAATAGAAAACATATTGCGGTCCTAATAACCAAATATCTATAAAAGTAAATAACTTGCAAATATGAAAACAGTTCATACACTGTAATGTAATTATTGTAACATAGAGACCCAATGTGTCGTATACGATACGTTGAAAAGTTAGCTCATCTCATGAAATATTGTTATTAATATAGTTTTTAAAAAATACTCTTAGGCCTATATAATCTTAGAAGTCTCCTCAACAAAAGCATGCATAAATTGTAAAATTATAATCAATATAAATAGAGAAAACTGAATACTAACATCAAGCATTCATACTTATGATCACTTCCAAAAACATGATCACTTCCAAAAACATGTGCTCAGACATTCACTTATATTTTCCTTTGTTTCTGTCACAGTGGAACGCATGTGGTCTAATAAGCTTCACTAAACTCTAATGACAAAATGTATAACTAATATAATTGTTTAGCAAGCAAAAAAGCAGAGCTGCTTCTCATTCTTTGAAAGAAAAATTTCGTGTCATATACGGCACGCGGCATCCCAAGAGGATAGGGATCGATAAATTACTAGATGTCGTTTGAGGGGCGGAAAGTATTATTAAAATGATGTGTTTTATACAAAATTGCATGTTTTACTTTACTAAAATTTAAAAGTTGATACTATGGTTGAGACATATTCCAAAAATGGACTACCTGCGAAGACCTAAAAAGGCGTTTTTAGAGATTCCACCAGCCGAGAGACCTGGAGGTTACTCACGAAAACGATGGAGGAAAGGAGTAAAACGGGAACTCGAAATTTTAGAAATAAACCATTAGGGTGACTAATTGACTAATGGTTTTTATTTCATCCTATTTTTTTAAATTTATTCTTAATTTGTGTCAGTAAATATAGTAGTCGATAAATTAAATCCAATTTTGGAACAGGATCGACAAGCAATAAAAATTGGGAACCCCTGTTCTAAAGTGACCACAAAGTCCCTTTGCATGTTACTTAGAAATATGTTGCTCTCTATTCTTTGCACAAATTTGAAGCTTTTATTGTGTTCATGGAGACTTCTTCCATGTTGACTGACATTGGAAGCAATTATCTTTTAATTGCTTCACGGATTGTTCACGGATAACTGTTTTTAGATCTTCATCCGATATAAAGCTGGATTAAGAAATTATTTTACACTGTTCCAATGCGAATTGTCACATGTTAGGTCTAGATTTCGTGGAAGCCCATCGGATCATCGTTGTGATACAGTACTTTCCACCTGGGAGATCCACGACACAATCTCATGCATGGAGACTTTGTGGTCACTCAGTGCATAAAACAGTCATCCTTAAATGGATCGTAATTAATCTCTTTTTCATATAGAGTACCTTGTATTTGGCAAAGGAGGATATCGTTTTACTCCGACACTTAACGGCAGATCGTACAAATGTGTTTTTTGGTCCGAGTTGGTAAATAATAGGTGCAAACGTCTATGTATGGAGCATTATCATGCATACGGAGGTGGATGTTCCTGGTTTAAATGTTATTGCTTAGTGTGTCATGATTAAATTTATCTTTTTCTCACTTAATATGGATTTACAGCTTCAAATCTTAATAATTTTTAGTGTGTCTCAATGTCGAAATTCTACATATTAAATTTTCTTTTATAATAGTATTGTGAATTAATTTATTAGTCAAACGAATTCAACTTTTGTTCATCGATTATGTCAATTTATGCTATATTCTATGAATCACAGGAAGAAATGTATTACAAATAAAATTTTGTAACTATTTAATTTGTCTCTGAATAAATATTAAATAATCACAGAAGGAAAAATCATCAGACAGTACCGAATATGCAATATAAATATTTAATACACTAGAAACTGGATTGGACTGGATTGATAGAATGCAATATATTACTTGGTAATCTGTCAAAGAAATGCCTTCCAGAATAACTTTCTGTGGGAAACTGATGTCTATTTGGGTGTTAGACACGCGCGGATAACACAGAAAACTGTACATACCCGCGACCATTACCATTGTGTTCAGTGGTTTTATCCACTCGGTCACTTGTAAGCTAATATTATTGTTGTTTGGCTCTTTGTATAAGTTATCCATTTTTAGCTACAATAAAATAGGGAAACAGTGCATACGTTCACAAAGAAAATAGATATGAAATGCCAAATGGACACACCAGAAAAGCCTGACGTAAACAAAAATAGCTGCATTGTTCTGTTCACTAAACGGCGTAGGAGAACTCAATGAGTCACCTGTGGGTTTTACTGGTAAACATCACGATTGTGGCTGAAAAACTTCTTTGAAAATTTTGGAGTTTCAGTCGTATCCAAACAGTCGACCACTTCAAGAATTTCTCAACCTTTCATGGACACCCTCTACTTTACTGTTAAGCTACGTAATTATAATAGGACAAGCAAACAAGACTCTTATTGGGCTGCAATTAGAAAATTCCGTCTGTTTTTTCCTTATCTCGAGAACGAAGTTAGATAAATGAAAGACGAGACCAGATACGGAAACTTTAGAGACAGCAGGAGACCACGACTATGTACTAACTATATACGAACTTCCGATGCAAACCGCAAGTCACGTTATTTCAAATGAAAAATTTTTTCCTTAAAGCAGTCAGATAGATGACCAGCACGATTCTATTGTTAAAGGTAAAGTATGACGTACAGGGGCAAGCCACTACTGATTTGGGGTGAAGAGCATATATTTTAAATTAAATAAATGAAAAATTGGCATTGTAACGATGTGATAATAAGGATTTTTAGATTGTTTGTTATTTATAACATTACATATATGATAAGTGTTATTAAGTTAGTAAAATTGACTGACATTGTCAATTTTTAATAGAATTTTTTCCCCATCGATCCCTGACAATGTAATATCGAGTGCTTTGAGATGACCTGATTTAAAGTGTATTTAGCATAGAATGTGATGGGAAGAAGGACAAAAAGCGATATTCGAGATTGGTACGAATATGCATAAGTGATGCTGTGCAGGCGATTTATCTTCGACAGCGGCCATACCACACTGAAAATACCGGTTCTCGTCCGATCACCGAAGTTAAGGCGCGTCAAAAAAAAACAAACAAACAAAAATCAAAAAAAAGAAACAAGGCGCGTCGGGCCCGCTCAGTACTTAGGACAGATACCCGGTACTGCGAATACCGGGTGCTGCTGTCAGTATTGTTTTTCTTTCATTTTTCGACCTAACTCTTTTTCTTTCGTCTAATAAAACTGATCACTTTGCGCAGTAATTTTTCTTTAATACATTATGTCAAGCAAACATTTCTTTTCTATAACCTTTAGCTTCCTGTACATTGCTTTAAAAATTCTCGGTAAACATACCTTGTATCAATTAAAAAGGCACACTGGGCGTTTAAATGCGTTTATTACGTGTAAAAGAACATACTTCAGCTGTCATCAAAATCAAGCAATAGCCTTTTATATATATATATATATATTTATTTATTTATTTACTAAAAATACAAATGACACAAATAAATAAATTTGAAATAATAATGTGGGTTTAGAATTAAATAGAATTTGTATATAGTCGCTGGACACTAAGCAGATGGGGAGAGCGACGGTAATACTGTCATGGCGAAAATTTTGGTTTGCAACAAATTTCAGGCCGCAATCTTTTAATAAACTCATTTTTATTTACAATGTTTATCTTACGAAAAAAAAAATGGTTTCTGTAAGTTACACAAAATTATAACTTCTGTACAGGATAGTAGCCTAAACTCGATTTAAAATCAGACATAATTTTACAGCGCTTATGGAAACCGTTTAATTTACAAGCGTTTACGGTTTACTTTATAAGCCCGCCTCGGATTTTATTAAACTACGAACTTCCGAAATCCCTATAGTTTGTATTTTCAAACCCGAGGCAGCAATTCCGTGGGCGCTGGGCGACACGACGGCCACCCACCGAATGCCTTCGATATGCTGTTGGTGTAATCGTTACAAAAAATTTAATTTGCATAAATTTGAGCTTATCTTAGTCTGAAACACATTTGGAATGAAAATTATTCGTTCGGATTCAATTTTATCCTCAGAAGTGATAAAAGCATGGGATAGGACACCGCCAACTTTGACCTATCCACCCGCAAGTTTCGCCTGCACCTCACTGATAACGACAACAGCTTTTAAGTTTAAAGTTTCAGCTCTCTAGACTCAGTGGTGTTAGAAGGAAAAATCATCAGACAGTACCGAATATGCAATATAAATATTTAATACACTAGAAACTGGATTGGACTGGATTGATAGAATGCAATATATTACTTGGTAATCTGTCAAAGAAATGCCTTCCAGAATAACTTTCTGTGGGAAACTGATGTCTATTTGGGTGTTAGACACGCGCGGATAACACAGAAAACTGTACATACCCGCGACCATTACCATTGTGTTCAGTGGTTTTATCCACTCGGTCACTTGTAAGCTAATATTATTGTTGTTTGGCTCTTTGTATAAGTTATCCATTTTTAGCTACAATAAAATAGGGAAACAGTGCATACGTTCACAAAGAAAATAGATATGAAATGCCAAATGGACACACCAGAAAAGCCTGACGTAAACAAAAATAGCTGCATTGTTCTGTTCACTAAACGGCGTAGGAGAACTCAATGAGTCACCTGTGGGTTTTACTGGTAAACATCACGATTGTGGCTGAAAAACTTCTTTGAAAATTTTGGAGTTTCAGTCGTATCCAAACAGTCGACCACTTCAAGAATTTCTCAACCTTTCATGGACACCCTCTACTTTACTGTTAAGCTACGTAATTATAATAGGACAAGCAAACAAGACTCTTATTGGGCTGCAATTAGAAAATTCCGTCTGTTTTTTCCTTATCTCGAGAACGAAGTTAGATAAATGAAAGACGAGACCAGATACGGAAACTTTAGAGACAGCAGGAGACCACGACTATGTACTAACTATATACGAACTTCCGATGCAAACCGCAAGTCACGTTATTTCAAATGAAAAATTTTTTCCTTAAAGCAGTCAGATAGATGACCAGCACGATTCTATTGTTAAAGGTAAAGTATGACGTACAGGGGCAAGCCACTACTGATTTGGGGTGAAGAGCATATATTTTAAATTAAATAAATGAAAAATTGGCATTGTAACGATGTGATAATAAGGATTTTTAGATTGTTTGTTATTTATAACATTACATATATGATAAGTGTTATTAAGTTAGTAAAATTGACTGACATTGTCAATTTTTAATAGAATTTTTTCCCCATCGATCCCTGACAATGTAATATCGAGTGCTTTGAGATGACCTGATTTAAAGTGTATTTAGCATAGAATGTGATGGGAAGAAGGACAAAAAGCGATATTCGAGATTGGTACGAATATGCATAAGTGATGCTGTGCAGGCGATTTATCTTCGACAGCGGCCATACCACACTGAAAATACCGGTTCTCGTCCGATCACCGAAGTTAAGGCGCGTCAAAAAAAAACAAACAAACAAAAATCAAAAAAAAGAAACAAGGCGCGTCGGGCCCGCTCAGTACTTAGGACAGATACCCGGTACTGCGAATACCGGGTGCTGCTGTCAGTATTGTTTTTCTTTCATTTTTCGACCTAACTCTTTTTCTTTCGTCTAATAAAACTGATCACTTTGCGCAGTAATTTTTCTTTAATACATTATGTCAAGCAAACATTTCTTTTCTATAACCTTTAGCTTCCTGTACATTGCTTTAAAAATTCTCGGTAAACATACCTTGTATCAATTAAAAAGGCACACTGGGCGTTTAAATGCGTTTATTACGTGTAAAAGAACATACTTCAGCTGTCATCAAAATCAAGCAATAGCCTTTTATATATATATATATATATTTATTTATTTATTTACTAAAAATACAAATGACACAAATAAATAAATTTGAAATAATAATGTGGGTTTAGAATTAAATAGAATTTGTATATAGTCGCTGGACACTAAGCAGATGGGGAGAGCGACGGTAATACTGTCATGGCGAAAATTTTGGTTTGCAACAAATTTCAGGCCGCAATCTTTTAATAAACTCATTTTTATTTACAATGTTTATCTTACGAAAAAAAAAATGGTTTCTGTAAGTTACACAAAATTATAACTTCTGTACAGGATAGTAGCCTAAACTCGATTTAAAATCAGACATAATTTTACAGCGCTTATGGAAACCGTTTAATTTACAAGCGTTTACGGTTTACTTTATAAGCCCGCCTCGGATTTTATTAAACTACGAACTTCCGAAATCCCTATAGTTTGTATTTTCAAACCCGAGGCAGCAATTCCGTGGGCGCTGGGCGACACGACGGCCACCCACCGAATGCCTTCGATATGCTGTTGGTGTAATCGTTACAAAAAATTTAATTTGCATAAATTTGAGCTTATCTTAGTCTGAAACACATTTGGAATGAAAATTATTCGTTCGGATTCAATTTTATCCTCAGAAGTGATAAAAGCATGGGATAGGACACCGCCAACTTTGACCTATCCACCCGCAAGTTTCGCCTGCACCTCACTGATAACGACAACAGCTTTTAAGTTTAAAGTTTCAGCTCTCTAGACTCAGTGGTGTTCTTTCTCTAGGAGCATCTGCACCTAGTGAAAGAATACCACAGCC